CCCCGTGCTGAACCCCGAACAGGAAGGTCCGCGATCCCCGAGCCTCCTTCGAGCAGTCCCTGCGCGTGCTGAAGCACGCTAAGGAGGTCCGGCCCGGTGTCGTCTCTAAAACCTCCATGATGCTGGGGCTGGGCGAGACGGACGAGCAAGTGCACGCCACCATGAAACGTAAGTTGGGGTTGGAACCTGTGCCGAGTCACAGGGATGAGCCTCACCGCGCTGCAAAACAGGTGTGAGAAACTTTGCCTCTGCCTGCAGGTCGGTTTGCTGGTGCAGGAAACGTTTTCTAAATTTGATAGGAAAAAAAAGAGTTTGTTTGAAAAAGATTGAACTTAATTATTTTGCCTTCATAGACTTTCAGGTCCAGCTTGTGCTGATTTCAGTGGAAATTACCTTTGTGTGACTACATTAACATTCTTACGTTTGCAGTACTTTGATAATAGTCTTGCACCATAGTTGCCTTATTGAGCATTCCTTTTTAGAAATAGAAGAACCTTACTGTTTAAAAGAATTTATTCTAGCTTACTTAGGTATTAAAAAGTTATTATCCTTGGAGCTGTAGCATGTTTTTATGTTTTCATCAAAAGATATTTTTAAGAGGAGAAAATTTCACAGTGATGAGTGACTGCAATGTGCTGGAAAGAAGAAAATCATAAATTCTGTGGCCTTTTTCCAGTGCTGTGAAAGAAAGTCTACCTGGTACTCTATTTTCTGTACAATCACCCATATTTAGAATGCAGTGATATAGCCTAGTTTTTCTGCAGCTGTCCCACAATCTGGACCATAAAATTACAGTTCTTGATTTTCCTCTTCTTCCTGCTTAGTGTTTGCTAGCCACAAGAATATGAAATTTCAGACTTGATGCTATTTGTTTTCAGACCGCTTTCATGGATATATTTGGAGACAAACTTTTTCCTACCGTATTCATTCAGTTACCGTAATTTTGTTTGGCTTCCGTCCTTTGAGAACAAGCTAAAGAACACGTAAATCTGCTGATACTGAACCAGTTTCTTTACAGAACCATATCGACCTAAAGAGATTCCAGAATAACAGTGAGCATAATGCTGTTGTCAAAACACTGCCTTTTCTTCCTATTTGACGAGCGGCAACCAGCTCAAGTAGATAGAAAATGTGTGGACATTTTAATGTAAAAAGTGATTCCTCGGCCATCTTTTGGTTCAGAATATCTGCCTAGTTGCAGTGAACATAATTGTCCAGGCTGGCTCATTATCAGGTGTCTGGATTTTCCTCTGTGAGTAGACCACCTGAATTCATTTGCTGTATATTGGTTCTGGTATATACTCAGATGTTAGCAAAGTCTGAGATTCTGCAGGCATCAAAACTAACATACATTCCATCTGCGTAAAGCTGGCAAAAGATGTTGGGCAGTTTGCTCTGATTTATAGCTCCTTAGAACTGTCCACATGAAGTATCTCAAATTGGTGGAGAAGCACCAAGTGTATGTGCACCCATCCATTTTTTGTCAAATGAAGGCTCTGACCTAAAGAGACAAGAAAAGCAGTAAGATCAAAAAGACAAGAGCCTGTGCCCTCTGCAGTGAGCCACGTGTGGTGTTCTCTCCAGCTTTCTGCTGGGTAGCTTAGCTCCTGCAGCAGCCTGGGGCTCAGGAGGAGGCACGTGGCTATGGCTCATTGAGGCTGCAAGTTCCCATTGCTGGAGAACAGAATGTAACCCCTTCAGTCACCCTTGTTCAGATTTTGAAGGGAAGTGTGTCCTAATGGCTGGCAATCCCCTGTGATCTTTCTGCCACTAACAGGGAATTCTTTTTTTGCAGTACTGCGGGAAGCAGATGTAGATTGTCTGACCCTAGGACAGTACATGCAACCAACAAAACGGCACCTGAAGGTAAAAATGCCTTTGATTCACAGGCAGCCTTATCATCTGTGTGTTGCACAGTCGGCTTCCCTCTTTCTAAAGGGAGGCCGGATACACGTCCTTACCTGAACTGCAGATGTCTGTTCTTGGCTCTTAACTAAAAATCACCTCAGCCATCTACTCCCCCCCATCTTCTGCAGCCTTCCCATTTCTGCTGTTAGGTGGGGAGACAGCTGGAGCTGGGGTGTGATTCTGGGAAACAAGAGTCTCAGTGTAGGTCTCAGATGTAATGGCTCAAGCCAGCTCCCCTGTCTCATAGGCTCTCCCATAATGGTGCCACTTCAGCTGAGGAATTTGCCATTTTCCCCTTCTTCTCATCTGCCCAGCACCTCAGTCTCCGTTACTGTGTTTCGCTGAAATAATTATTAGTGAAGAGATTTGTAGGACTGCTGGTTTTTTTTACCAATTGAGACCAAAAGAATGGTTTGCTTGAAAGGACGGTTCAAAAATGGAGTGAAGAAAATTATAAAGCAACAACTAGAAATTAAATTCTAAACTTTGGAACTAAATATGAAAAGCAAATAATTCATTCCTCTGGTAGAAGGCAGAGAGAAAGCCCACTTTGTGACTTGGCTGCGGAGAGTTTGGGAGTGTAAAACGCTGAACTTGTGCTATAACTGTTTCATTCACTGTATGCTAGTTATGGCCATTTCCGTTGCCGTAAGACCTGATCAAAAGGAATTCTTTTCACTCAGGTTGAGGAGTACATAACTCCTGAAAAATTCAAGTACTGGGAAAAAGTCGGAAATGATCTTGGATTCCATTACACCGCTAGCGGGCCTTTAGTGCGCTCCTCCTATAAAGCAGGTAAAGTACTGAAAGGATATCAGATTCTTGAGCACATAACTTTTTATTATGTGAAGTTGAAAGGGTGATGTAATATGCAACAAAGCTATTTGTACAGCTGGTATTTGTACAATTGCTGTGCTGCTTCAGCTGTTTTTTGCCAAACTTAGTTTGTACTATACTTACTATGTGAGGCAGGATACAGGGTACCCAATTTCCAAGTTTTCCTTTATATTCCACCTCAGGGTTTAATGGGGCCCTTTACTGTGTGTGATGTAATTGTATTGCTTTGAGCAGAATTTATTTACAGTGCCTCAGCAGTAATTAGACAGGCTTATGGCAGTGCTTTTTCTGACGAAGCACTAGGTGTAAGTAGCAGCTGGCATTAAGGGAACTGTTGGGTAGGCCCAAGATCCTGACTTTTCCTAAGGAGAGAACAGACTCAACACATCTGGGGCCATTTTAATGCCAGCTCAAATGAGATTTAGAGCAGGTTTCACTATAAGTTGCTTTTACTTTAAGAAATATGAATTAATTTTTAATTAAATCAATTCACCTTTGCCTGCTGGAAAGCACAAAGAAGCAGAGCTATTTTATAAAGCTAGGCCTGAGGAAAATCAGGATGGGGGAGGGGGGTTGTTGGGTTATGGTTGGGGTTGGTTTTTCTACATCCCAGCTGTACGTGTTGAAAGTGCCCTTGAATTGAGTTACTGAAACACTGGTATGAACAATTGTAGTGTAGAATAGAATGCTCACATGAAATTAGACTGTGTATTGTTTTGCTTTATTTAATTGTGCAAATTAATTGCCAGTAAATAATTGTGGTGCATTTTTTCCCCTTTAAATTAGGTGAATTCTTCTTAAAGAACTTAGTAGAAAAAAGAAAGACAAAACCCATCTGAAAAGGAGAGTGAATGTATTTTCCAGTTTTAAGGATTGCCAGTTTTAAGGATCCTTAAATCAGTGCATAATTATATTCAGTTCCAGAAGACCAGATGGTGGATGTATGAACAAACTTACTACCTTTCCAGAACAAATTTCTCTCACCAAAACACTTCATTATTTTACTTCATTCCTCCTGGCAAGGCTACAACTACATAGTACTTCCAGTGTTCAACAAAAAAGTCAGAAGATGGAACTGATTTTGGAAGAATGATGAAACTGAGGTGAAAGAAGTGCAAGCTGGAAAAAAACCAACTGTGGACAGATTTAAGTCAACAGGGCTGATACTACTCAGTACTGCTGCAGTTACTACTTGTGAAGATGCTAACAGTAATTTGAAAGGTGCTGATACTTTGGAGTATCTTACCATGATGTGATATAAGCTTGCAGCGGCTCTGGGAACCACAGCAGTTCTAAAGAAAGATCGAGTACATGACAAAGGACCAGATAAGGGCTACAGTGAACCACACCAGAGAAAGCATGGGTTAAAAGTGTGGGTAAAAGTCCTTCAAGAGATGGTATCTCTTACCTGCACCTTAAGAAAATGAGCAGTACTGTTCTGACAGCTAATGCTTTTCCAGTGCCAGTGTGTTGCAAGGTGTGAGCCCTGGTAAAGCCAGGGCAGTGAGTTGAAGAGAACGAGAGCCCTCTCTGGCATGACATTTAACCATGTGTAGATACTGTATAATTTAAAACCACATGAGAAGTCAGTTGCCCTAACGACATAAGTAGAGCCACCCCTAGTCTGGGTACATGACTGTAACAGGCCCCATCAAATTGCACAGGTGCGTCTTGGATGTGCAGAACTGCTGCTATTGTGCATCTGCAGGTATTGTCTTATCATTAAAGGGAAGTTAAAAACCCAGTCTAAGGCTGTGGTGGTTAGGTTTGTTCTAGTTATCTGCCCCCTTGTTAACTGGTCTGGCTAACAAACCTGAATGCAGAGAACTGCATTGCAGAATCATTAAGGTTGGGTTGATGGTCTTAGAGGTCTTTTCCAACACTACCATGGCCACTAAACCATGCCCCTAAGTACCCCATCCACACATTTGTTTGAACACCTCCCTGGGGGAGCCTGTTCCAATGCTTTACCACTCTCAGTGAGGAAATTCTTCCTAATACCTAATCTAAACCTCCACTTCCACAACTTAAGCCCTTTTTTCTATCACTAGTTACTTGGGAGAAGGGACCAACACCCACCTCACTATAACCACCTCTCAGGTAGTTTAGGAGTGCAATAAGGTCTCCTCCACACTAAATCCCAGTTCCCTCAGCCACCCCTCACCCTCAGGGGTGAAACATGAAATCTATTACACATTGTACTAAGCTCAAGCAGAAATGAAACCATGGCTTACAGTATACTAGCAGCTGTAAAGTCCTTTCTTGAAGAAGTCAGGGTTGTTGAAAGTGCATCCCCCTAATAATTCTCAGTTTTCTGCTGTGGTCATTAGATACCATTTTTGAATTGGCTTCCGCTGTATCTTCATGAAGTTTTTGGGACCCATGCCAGGAATTTGGTCTCTGGTCCCAGACTCTCATCAGATGGGTAATCCCATGGCATGGTTATAACCATGGCTGGTTATACTACATCTTCTGAACTGCTGTAGACTATATGAAGGAGAGTGGGCCTTCTACCCACTCCCAGCTCATCAAGATGTTAGAAGGAAGACAGCTAATTAGCAAGTCAATAGATAGTATCAAGTTTCTCCTGTCACAAACAGCAAAAATCAGATGATTATACCACTGGGGCCACTGATGCACAATTGATACTTGCCAAAATTAAGTATAGCAATATTAAAGCATTATGAAGGCAAACAGCCTTAAGCTAAAAGGAATGTACTAATTTAACAGTGTAATGGAGGAGAAACTTGAGCCTTGAAAAATGTAAGTCTTAATAGCTGTACTTTGTAAAGGACGAAAGGCAAGGCATTTTTTTTTTTTTGTAATTAAAAAAAAAAATCTGACCACTAGCCTTGGAAAGACAAGGTACACTTTGAGCCCCAAATGGCCTGCTTCAGCTGAAGTACACTGAACACCAGAGCAGTGGGAGGTTCTCAGCTCTGGTAAGGAAATTCAGAGCTCACTCCACAGCGGCAGGCAGGGAGGGAGGGGTGCAACCTTATCTCCAGGGTACCCACATGTTCAATAGCTGCCAGCCTTTATTAGAGGTCCTGCTAGAAATAATGGGTTTGACTTTCCTACAGAGCAGTTATAACAATATTACTTTAGCTTTTGCCAAGTTACTGCTCTTGAAGTGTATCCACACTAGAAACTTGGAAAAGGGAATTCTGAGCCATACAGCTATTACCAAACGAACAAGAGAATGTTGCACAGGAATCACCCATGACTTCTTTTACAGTGAGAGAAATAATGCTCTGGAAACACAGGCCAATGTTACTTCATGTTAGACCTACCTTATGAATTGCTGCTGGGTGGTTCAGAAGATGACCTCATGCTTTTACACAAGTGTCTGCTAGCTGGTACCAAGTTCCAGAAGCTACAGAAGCTGTTTTCTGAGTGCATGTTTTGCTGTGGTTTCTGAGGAAAGCAGTCACTTTTTGACTTCATAGCTTGAAGAGGTGTTTAGGTTTTAAGAGTGTTTGAGGACAAGTCCTGAAGTTCTTTTCCTAGTTAAGAAATGCTTTTACAACCACCTTCCTTATCTCTTGCCCATTCAGTTTTTCACAAGTGATTTTTTTTTCCATAACAATCAACTAATTTTTATTTAATGTTAATACATCAAACTGTCACAGAGCTCCTGGTTATAAATTCAGCGCAGGTTTTGTGACTATCTCAGTCTTGTAATGAAGTTTCATTTTTAGTGACATTTTCTTTTTGTATGTCAATCACTTCATTCTGTCAGTTTCTTTTGCAAAGCAGCCAGAAACGTTAAGGAACATCATTAACCTTCATTGCAATCAGGAAAACATCAAACTGAGTTTTGGAATTACGATTTCAGGTTGACACAGACACTTTAAAAGAATGAACAGGTTTTCTTAGCATCATTGCACTATGTGAAGCATAATTAAGTGTTATGCAGCTGGCTTGAGAACTGCTACATCCTCCAGTGACTTCAAAGTCTTTAGCTTAAATCAAGAAAGAGGGTTCATTTAAGAATAGTTTTGTTTTGTTTCCTACTTGATCCAATTAATATTGGATATAATATTTAACTTAAAAAAAAATGTCAAGTATTTATGCTTCATTACCACAACACTTGTTGCAGATGTTCAACTTGCAACAGAAATTCTCAGCTTGGAATAGAAAAAAAAACAAGTAATGAAAACTGACTCCAGTATTCCTAAACTCATCAGATAACCCCTTGTCCTGCATTGTTTTACAATTAAATTTCAAAGTTTAGCTGTTAAGCACGATTATAGCACTACTATAAAATTCCAGATTGACAGAGGAACCTCAAGTGATAGAAATGTAAACATTGGACAAAATCTCTCCACCAACTGTTCCTATACTAACTAGTCTTAGTCAAAAATGTGTTTGTTCAATTCAGTTGCTATATTCTTGGCTACAATATGCCTGGTACCAGACCAGTTTTAGCTGCATGAAGGGTTGAACATGCACACAGAAGAAGAACAGTACATTTTTTCTGGCATTTATAGTTTGTCTGTGCAATATCCTGGGTAGGACTTAATTTATGCTGTCTGTATCATACTATTCATAGGCTTGTATTACAACTGGATTTGCTCCAGCTGTTGTATTTGCATTGCTGCAGCTGTGTTACAGGAGGATTGCATTTTATTAAGAACCCCATTAAAAAAAAAATTTCAGAGCACAGGAATCCATTACTCACATTACACAATTCTCATCAAGAATTACATGTTGTAAGATCCCACAGACAGACTCAATAACATTAAAACTCATCTCCTACATACACCACTCAAGCCTTCAGAAAAAAAAACCAGTTCTTATTTCCCTGGCAACTGTACTCTGAAGATGAGGGCTGATTCACAGGGCTGCAAAAGCTTGCAGAGCTCTTTGCTTGGGCCTGTAGTGAGGTTCTCTTGCATACCAGGTCAGTATTGCAGTATCCCAAAGGGGTGCTCCACCAGCTGTTCAGCCTGCATTCATCCCAGTGTCCCACTAAAGAATGCAGCCACCAAGAAACCAAGGCTGATTCTCCAAGAAAGCAAGGGAAATGCCAACAACAGTTTTATCCCTTGTTGCTCTTCAGAAACAATCTGCCATTTCCCCTTTCTTAGGAAAGGGAACTTAGCATGATCCTACTAAAGTGAACTTGCCTGTTCTTTATCTGTGATTAAGCCACAAGTCATGATCCAGGCTTTGACTAAGTCTGCAGGAGAAATGGGGTAAGAATAGAAGGGATAGCCCCTAGTTGCTCCATCTCCTTGGGATGGTGTGTGGAAAGCCACTGCAAGCCTCAGGGATGCTGATCCATCTTGCACATTGCTAGCAGGAACAACACTTCACACAAGAGTTTAACCGTCCACCCATCTTCTTCAGGTTGATGAGGACAGGTCCCATACCAAGGCGCTATTACAGCCGTCTGCAAGCTTCTGCAAAGCACCCCGATTTTTCTGAAGCCTCTGGTCACCCTCCCCATTACGACGGGCCCCAAAGCAGTGCTGTGCCACCCTGGACATAGCTCGGGACGAGAGATCCGTCGAGCACAACTTGTCAGTACCCCCTCTGGGGACAGAGGTAGCCGAGAGGATGCCCAGCTCCCAAGACATGGCAATCTACCAGCTGGAACAGTGCTCACAAGTACCACCGCTGTCTCACAGGGCTGTCCCTGCGTTGAGTGTTGTGTTAAGGCAGTGCTAGTGAACCAGGAAGAGGAGATGGCATCAATGAAAGAGGACAGTTTGATTTTAAGCCCACATAATTCCCCACTCACTTTGAGTGGCTTCTGATATGCTCCACACAGAAGAATCTTATTACAGGACAAAAAGCCTGAGACACATTTGTCTGAAGTTCTACATAATAAGCCCCCCATGTGGAAGCCATTAACATGCAGACTCCAAAAGCATCTGGTTCAAGGATACAGCTATTTTGGCCAGATAATGCTGTCTGGCATTGTCTAGCCAAACTGTTCCTGTTCCTTAAATCTTCAAGTACCTGTCCTGAAGCTTCAATTGTATCTACATTTCTGTGGGTAAACAGTTACAATAGCAGTCATCACCAAGAAGACACTGATCTTCTGCTCTAACTGTTGATACAGCATACTTGAAGGAATTTCCCTGAGTAAATTCAGATGGTATTACATGACTAGTTACAGGATAATTCTCTAACATACCAATGCTACTAATACTCAGTTAAGACATCTACACCTCCTCATCTGAAACCTGTTTGTGGTCCTCATTCTCTATCCTCTCCCTCTCCATTTCACAACCTCCCAGAATAAGCCAAACTCAAACTCTGTCATCTCAAGGACTTTAATAGCACTGGCCAATTGAAAATAATAAAAACAAGTAGAAATAAAGTAATAGTAAAGGCAAAAATATCAAGATAAAATAGGAAGTACCAATTCCTGCTAATTCAATGCGGTAGGAAGCTGACTAACTCATGGGGCTGAATTTTTATTTTTTGTCATTTCTTAACAGCAGAGTATAACTTTTGCAGATTCAGTAAGAAAGCTGCTTTCAGGTGAAGTATGCAAGCAGAAAGGAAGGACGTTTTGAAGGCAACATTTGCTTTCCACTTGGACTGACACCAAATAAAGGTAATTCTGCTTAAACGCAATGTTCAAACAAGCAGAATTCTCCTCTGCTGAAGGGGGATTGCGTTGTTGTAACTTAGGAAAAATTTGCCCCAGGAATCTGATTAGATCAATAATTTATGTGGCTGCACATGGAATGTAGGCAAGACAACCAAATAATCAGAAGTTAAGATGTACCAGTTGATCAGTTTATGACTGTTAATTGCATGATAGATGCCTGCAGAATGACCTGGCCTCCCCAAATGCTGTTTAGAGCACATCAGTGCCAACCCATCCCAGCCAGGACTGGGGCATTATTGTTGCACTCAGCTCTATTTTAAGGCTCAACCCAAACCCTATCCAATCTACTTAGAACTTATCTTTTGATTTCAATGCCAGTTAGAGCAAGAATTTAACTAACTGGGCACAAGAATTACACCAAAAGAAAAATCTGTGACACCAAAGTTCCTGATCACTGTCCATTAACTGGACTAAATCAAAAAGATATTCTATTTCTTTTGCTTTCTTATCACTCAAAACATTGAAAGTGCAATTTAGGAACATTTCTGGAAGCAGAAATCTGCAGTTTGAAGGTAATTTTTCCACGTAAAAGATGATTCATTATTAAAAACAGGTATGTACCATCTTCAGTAACCAAAAAAAAAAAAATTGCTATAAAAATAGAGATTTGAATTCACATGTACCAGGTACCATTTCTAGTGTAAAATTGGTTACATTTATGAAAAATACTTTCCTTAAAAAAAGCAGAGGCTTACAGTTATTATCACTAAGAAGGTCCACAGAATTCTCTCAATTACTGTTAAACATTATACTCTGGGCTTTTTGAGAGGTGGGTCCTGCAGACTGAATTTAGGAATTTCACATGAAGAAGCAAAAGGAATTCGTTTGGCTGACACCTTCTTCCCAATTGTTTCAATCTGAAAAAGAAAACATATTTAATATGCAAGTGTGGCAAGATAACGTAGTCATGTCAGCCTATGAGGAACCTACAGATTAAACCCAGGACATTTCGTGGATGCTAGGAATAATACAAGCTACAAAGCACAGTGTGCCCCAGTGACAATTTTTGGGATTGGAGTTGCAAAGAGTTTGGGTTTGGCTTTTTTTTTTAAAAAACAGTGTTCCACAGGTGCCTGCTTTGCCTACTTAAAGCTGCATCTTGTTAGTTTGAACTTTCTTGTGCCTCATTTACAATAGGACTATCAGTGCAAATATCATAAAATGTTTCTGGGCATTCACAAAGGAGGCCTAACCCACATTTTATCTAAATAAGGACCACATATAGAAGGAAAGAAATGTAAGAAGTAGCATCATCCAGCTAATTACCTGGAAGCCAATGACCTGTAGCTCATTGTGAAGATCATCTAGAACTCTCCTACCATCAAAGATAAATGCAGGCTTCAGCATCTTCTTATGAATGCGTTCATAATCCAACTCCTGCAAAGGGGAATTAAAGCAGACAGAATAAATAAATAGCATAACACTCCCTCTGTTGTTCTTTAAATTGTAGACAATATTTACCTTAAACATGTCCCATTCAGTGCAAATTACAAGGGCATGAGCTCCATCACAGGCTTCATAGGGATCTTCACTGATAGTGACCAACCGAGACACTGTAACAGAAGGAAATTTTTTTTTTCTCCTCTGCGCACATCTTTAGTATCCATCTGGTGCACTCCTGGCAAATGAATCTCCTTCCTTGTCCTACACAAACCATGAGTTTTGAGTCACTCATCCAAAGATGTTTTCTATCAAGACATTTCTCACTTTGATTTCATGTATTTAAATGAAAGTAGCTTGTACCTGGCATCTGAACACAGTCAGAGAACTCAGGTTTGAAGTGAAGCATTTAAATTTGATTTAAACAGTGAAGAGCATGTCTAGAATTAGAAGTTACTATGGAGTGCTGAAATGTCATCTTTCACAAAGGTCCCTGCCTGTCCAATAGCAGCACATCACAGTTCCCATTTTACACTCAGATCACACTAGAGAAGATACACAGCTCACGAAGAGCTGCCTTCATCCTCTGGCTGCCTCAGTGGCTGCCTGGAGCCAACCCTCCCTTCCCCTTCTGTTTCAAGGGTATATCAAGTGTACAGCCTTCACTCTTCATCACAGCTCAGTTTCCTTCCTCTTCTTCACCTCTAGAAGCCTGATCTGTCCTCCTCCTCATCCATCCATCCATCATCTCCATTCTCTCCCTCCCCAATAAGAAAAGAAAATACCAAATACTTCCTGCTTCTCTCCAAGAAATTTCTAGTCAGAAGATTGAAGTCTTCTTGAATTTAAAGGAACACATTAATTTGGAAGTGTTATCTGGGAAAGGGAGAATACTCTACAGTGAATTCCAGATTTATTTATTTTTACTTTAGATATGCAAACAAGAATTAAGGCAAGATAATACTCAGGACACAAAGGAGCTGACGGACCACCACCAGTCATTCCTACTTCTGGACCTTCTTTCTCTTCCTTTTAATTATGCAGAGAGAAAACTATTTGCATGTATTCAAATTAATATTTATAAAACAGAAAAATAGAAACCAGTACAGAATTAGCATTTTATCTATAAAAGATATGGGGAGAGAGAAGAGTTACAGTAATCCCCTCAGCTATGACCATCTTCTAATAAGTGTAACTAACAGCATATCATCACCATGATAAAAATGTGAAAGTGTGTTTATAGTATTTAAAACAGACCTTGTATGTTTTGAGAATAAGATGGGGAGAGAACAGGGAAACAAGCTTTACAGGAGCCATCTTACCTTGGTTATCTTCCGAGACACCTGGATGCGAGAGATCCAAGAGGATTTGTTCATGAGGTACTTTAGGATCATAGATATGGAGCTTCGCTCCTTCATCCATTAAATACTTGCTAATGTAGATACTGGATGACTCTCTAGGGAAGTGAATCAACCAGTTAGAGAACCAGGTGGCATGTTACAAGTAATGAAAGTATTCAAGCGTCATGATACACAATGCCAGAGCTTTTATGCCAGGTTTATGTTAAATATCTTAGTGGTAATCCATGCCAGGAGCAAATTTGAAACCTTGAGGGACAACAAGGAAAGTAATAAAAAAACCCCAACTTTACATCTCTCTTGCTGAATTATGCAAGAGAAACTAAGACACAGGACTCCAACTGACCATAATTAACAATGCATCAAGCTTATAATCATACAACTCTCCAATTGCAGTTGGTGGGGATCAAATTTGAGCTTTACAGGAAAACAGAATTAACCACCTTGGGGAAACAAAGCTGAAGCTTTGGCTTCACATAGTCGCTGAGAACCAGTTGCAAAGATGTTTGCATTCTTTTCTGTGGAGAACAGAAGGACTCTCTCAAGCTCTGTCTTTGCTTATGCAGGTTAACAAGGACTACAGTTATCTGCTCTAGCTTTTGAAGGATTCAGCTATATTGCCCAGGCCAACAATCAACTGTCTTGCCCACTTAAGAAAAACTAGTCCTTGTTGCAAATCAATTCAGACACAAGAAGTTGAGGGACCCATATCCAATCTATTGTTATCAATACAATTCAGCTGGGGGGTTTAGCTGCATAGCTGGTGACAAGTGTA